GGAAAAGTGAGTAAGCCAAATATTCAGCCAGTACTTAGTGTGTACCCCTGAAGCACTTAGTGCGTACACTGCCAGCCGAGAAAGGGGGAAGCTGCACAGACGCAGTGGCCGCTTTTGAGCTTGACAAGAGTTGGAGTCCAAGGGTAATCTGGGCAGCTGGGAAGAGAGCACATTTCTGAAATACAAGATTCACGATGGGATTCAGCAATGATGAATGTGGATATGGATGCTGCTTAGGCTGAAAATCAAGTGTTTGTGGAAGCGGTGGGGGAGGTGGGGTTATTGGTTTGTGAGTGTCTTTCTTGTTTTTATTATGCATTTTGTGTTTTATTTTGTTGTTGTTGTGAACTGTGCCGAGATCTAAGGGTGAAGGGCAGCATACACATTTTAATATTAATAATAATAATATCAATAATCTGGGGGGGAACACCACATTGCTCAAGTTTTGGAACTCCAGCACTCACCTGAAGATCTATCTGCAAGAGTAAGGTAAAGGTAAAGGGACCCCAGACCATTAGGTTCAGTCGTGACCGACTCTGGGGTTGCGGTGCTCATCTCGCTTTATTGGCCGAGGGAGCCGGCATATAGCTTCCGGGTCATGTGGCCAGCATGACTAAGCCGCTTCTGGCGAACCAGAGCAACGCACGGAAATGCCGTTTACCTTCCCGCTGGAGCGGTACCTATTTATCTACTTGCACTTTGAGGTGCTTTCAAACTGCTAGGTTGGCAGGAGCAGGGACTGAGCAATGGGAGCTCACCCCATCATGGAGATTCGAACCACCGACCTTCTGATCGGCAAATCCTAGGCTCTGTGGTTTAACCCACAGCGCCACCCGTGTCCCATCTGCAAGAGTAGATGCAGCTAAAGAAGAAAACCTGAAACTGTAATCAGAAAAAACAAGTTCTTGAACAATACATAGAAAATATCACGCCTGCTGATAGTGTATTTCAGACTACTGACACAAAAAGCAAACAAAAGTAAGGCATTGGTAACCAAATGGTAACATTGTGCAGTATTGCTCTTGTTTTTGTATGATTTTTTAAATTGCACAGGGGTATACGACTTAAGTTAGTTTGTAGTGTCATTGAATTTTTGGAGATTTAATGGTAGTTCTAGACAATTTTAAAGTTTTTAATGAACAACTGAACAGTGCCAGTACCTGGAATAACCTGAATTCTTGGCTCACACCAGTCTCCTTGTTTGATCCCAGTTTATTCTTGCAGGTTCAAATATGGCATGTGAACTGAGAGAACATGGTGGTTGCTACACGTCGATAACCCTGGTCTCCACTGGTTCATACATTACATTTGCAGCCCAATCCTATGCATGTTTACTCAGAACTAAATTCTACTGTGTCCAGTGAGACTTGCTTTCATATAAGTAAGCACAAAATTACAACTGCGCTCGTGTGAATGTACATTTCCAGAACTCCAGGCCAACTCATGTGAGCAAAAGCATAGGGTGAAATTCAATGTCATGTGAATATTATCATTCTGTCAGTGCAAGCATTTCTGCTTACCTGATGGTTAAGGGACAGCTCAGTCGGTAGAGCATGAGACTCTTAATCTCAGGGTTGTGAGTTTGAGCCCCACATTGAGTGAGAGATTCCTGCATTGCAGAGTTGTCTATTCCAATGCTACAGTTCTGTGACTGTGATTCTATTCTATGGAACAATCTCCTTTTCCAACTGCAAGCTGTTCTGCTCTCTTCTTCTTCTTTTTTTAAGAAAAAAACCCCTATTTCTAAGATCTGGAAATAACTTTCTTCTGCTCTTGAGTCTTGAGTTCAAATGGAAGGATATGTGGTTCAAGGAAAAAGCGTGACTTTGAGATTTTGGAGGAAAAAATTGCTTGACATTTCACTTGGTTGGGCTAAACCCTGGTTGCTCTAATGGGCCAGCCGCCACTGAATTTAATCAGCGACTAGTAGATACAGTGGGATGCGGGTGGCGCTGTGGGTTAAACCACAGAGCTTAGGACTTGCCGATCAGAAGGTCGGCGGTGTGAATCCCCGCAACGGGGTGAACTCCCATTGCTCGGTCCCAGCTCCTGCCAACCTAGCAGTTCGAAAGCACGTCAAAGTGCAAGTAGATAAATAGGTACCGCTCCGGTGGGAAGGTAAACGGCATTTCCGTGCGCTGCTCTGGTTTGCCAGAAGCGGCTTAGTCATGCTGGCCACATGGCCCGGAAGCTGTACGCCGGCTCCCTCGGCCAATAAAGCGAGATGAGCGCCGCAACCCCAGAGTCGGTCACGACTGGACCTAATGGTCAGGGGTCCCTTTACCTTTACCTTAGTAGATACAGTGCAATGAACTAAAACAATAAAATTCAACCCTGGCCATTCATTGTTCATAGCCATGTTTCAAAGGCATCCTCCCAGTTAACAGCGTATACTAATACCTCAGCCACATGGCGACCGCATCCTGTGCATTCTTATCAATCCACCACTGAGCCTAGGGCTTCAGGAAATATCACAACCTGAGCCAGAAGGCTTGCTGAGGGAGGTAATGTAGGGCCCACAGGTTGCACTTGACTAATCAAAGTTCTGCATTGCCTCCATGTAATTCCCCCTCCATGTGTACTTCCACCTACGGATCTGCCATTTCATAAGAAAAAGAGGGAAACTGCCTTTGGGACCTGGGTGCAGTCTGATGACTGTCGCCTTCAGTTATAACAGTGCTACAGTAACTCCCTGTAGTAAAGTTGTAGTAAAGTCTGATTAGTGGCAAATCTCTCTGTCCTTGGTACTAATGAATTCAAATTTTGCACTCTACCCCTTTATTTGCTTCTGCTTTCCCCATGATACATCAGTACGAAGAAAGTGACTTTGAAATCAAGTTGCTAAAGACAGTTAAGCAAAAGAGAGTTTTCAAGGAGTGTGAGCATTCAGGAGAGGAAAATGTCAGATTTCATTGTGCACAGAAGATTTGGAAAATGCTACTCATTTCACCGTTAGCAAAAGCAAACCCTTAAAATCACAGGAATTTCCCACTGGCTGGCTGGTAAAAATCCAACAAAGAAGGGACAAAACCCAACTGTTAACAACTTGAAATAGTGAGAGTTTTTATCATATTTTAATTATAAGGGCATTTCCAGATTATTATTATTTAATGCCTTTTTACTTTGGTGGTATGCACATGCTAGTATTGATTAAGCACCAGTCATTATATTCTGCATTCTATACCCAAATGAGAGAAGGGAATAATAACAACGCTTTGTGTGTTTGTGGAAGAGGTTGCTTTGTATTCTGGCCACACTGCTTTAAGAAAAACTAATATAACACCTGAGTATATTAAGGAATCATGTTTGCCATGCTCTATATATAGGAAAGTCAAAGTGCAGGCCCTCTACTCAGACTTAGAGCAGAGCAGTTGGCTTAGATCTGAACTAGTTATACTCAGAATTAGGGATGGTGGAGAAATTTGATCCAGTTTGCATTTAAAGGCAAATCTACCTGGTTCACACTTTCTGAAAGAATGTGAATTTTACAATGCAGTTCTCCCACCAAGCAGTATCTACAAAAATCGTATCTGTTGGGGGTGAAGTATGCATTTAAATGCATTTTTAGTGAAGCTAACATCCAAAATGCATTATATTGTGGAAAACTACAGCAACATATATTAGACAAAAGTGCACACAAAAATGTGTATGTTAGGTGAAATTGGCACTAAAATGCTGATGAATTTTCACACCTTTTTTTTTAAAAAAAATAGCAAACTGATGTGGAAATATGGAGAACTGAGTTATATATTGGAAAAGTAAGAAATGGAGAGAAACTGAAACTGATGGATTTTGCCCATTCCTGCTCAGAGTAGACCTACCAGATTGCCTGTCTTTCGGTTCTTGGCTTTTTAAAATACAGTTTTTACAACTGCCTACAGGCAGACTTGGTGTGTTGGAATAATGGGAGCCATGCCCAGGGTGGAAAAATTACCAGTTGCAGAACTGGTTTTATTGGGAAATTTGTTTCCCTCTCCCTCTACTTTTATTGCATTAGGAAGTTTACTCCCCCGTGTGTTTATTAACTAAAATAATCAAGGCTGTGATCAATCTGACCTTTACATGAGAGACAAAAAAAATGAACTGCTGAAGAACTCCGTTAACCTTTCTTTTAACCCTGCTGTGTGAAGTAGCAGCTGTTCATTCATACATTTTAAAAGTTAATAGATTCATAATTTAAAAACAAAATTACTGAACGAGACGAGTTGTTTCACTAGAAGGATTCTGGCACTTCTTCATCCATGAGCCATCCTTTCATTATGCCTGTTGTAAAAACACAGTGGCAACAATATTTTCTGTTTCAGCTTCTTCTGAGCCCGAGTTGCATTCATTAGGAAAGAGCAATGTCTTGGGGGCCAAACTTGAAAGATGGAGAGCTCTGCATTTAGATTTCCTTTAGCAGCTGATTTTCTACCTGAAAGCTGCCAGGGAGCTCCTAAATCAGAAAGTGACATGTGTGTGTGTGTGTGCCTGGGGACTGAGGTCTTCTCCTCATGCCATTTTTGTGCCAATATCACCACCTGCCAATGCTGCTGTTCATCCCATAGGAACAATGAATGGCACGGTGGCAATTTTTGAAGTGCAGGAACTCACCACATAGTCTCTTTTGCTCCACTCCCAAACAGAGCCCAAGCTATGCTGGTCCATTGCACCTGGTACCCAGAAATAGCAAAGATCAGCTGACTGTAATAGAATAGCTAGGTGCTTCATTCTCTGGCTTCCTCTATGTTGATAGATCACAAGCAGTAAATCAAACCTGAAAGCCTTGTCACCACCTCATTCGCTTGCTGGAGCAAGGAGGGTCTGCTCTGGCACTCTCCATAGGTTATTCAATCACTTCTGCTCTGGAAAAGAGTCCCAGAGCTGCATTCTCCCACATCCCTCATCTATTACACCACTGCCAGGGGAATCACACAGGCATTTCATAGAGAATCATACTGTAGAGTTGGAAGAGACCACAAGAGTCATCTAGTCTAACTCCCTGCAATGCAGGAATCTTTTGCCCAATATGGGGCTCGAACCCACAGCTCTGAGATTACAAGTCTCATGCTCTACCAGCTGAGCTATATGTATGCTGTGTGTTTTCTCGTGCAGGTAGATTGGCTACTTCAAGGGATGCAATTTAGAATTGAAAAGCAATGCAGAGGAAAGGGTTCCGTCTCTTTCTTGGATGGAACTGGAAGCAGCGGTCAACCAGGAGACAGGAATTGTAGCAGGGGCCATAATTCTATGTATTTATGGGAGCACCGGGGTGTGTGTGTGTGTGTGTGTGTGTATGCTGTTTCAAGCCAAGCAAGGTCAAGAATATATTAATCCCGGAAGAATCACTGTTGCTCAAGCAAAGCCCCAGCACAGGCAGGAACTTTGTAGAACCATTCCTATCTAGGAGAGCCTCAATGACAGTCTGGGTGGGCAAAGCTAGTTCAGAGCCTGAGAACGTTTCACTGCCCAGGAAATAGCCAAAGTGCAATTCCAGCAGTCACCTATAGAACTTATAGTTTACATTTTTAACGCTGGCAGCTCCTCGTTCAGGAAGCACTTCCATTACTTTCAATCAGCTTTGGTTCCCCTTGGTGACCTCTGTCACTCCTGATTGTCTACATCGCATTGTGTGCATGACATCATCACATTTAATTAATTAATTGTTGCATCTATATCCTACCTTTTCTCCAAGGAGCTCAAGGTGATGTATATGGTTCTCTTTCTCCCCATTATATCCTCCCAACAACTCCGAGAGACTAACTGGCTCAATGTCACTGAGTGAATTTCATGGCTAAGATCTCTCATCTCGCAGGTCCTAGTCCAACAGTCTAATCACTCCACCACATGGTCTCTTGTGCTCATGATGTGATTCCTAATTGACTGGGATACTCTTGGAGGGAGAATAACACCCTTATTGGCTAGGGTGGGGATTGTGCCTCACCTTAACAGTCAGGAACTAGGTATCAAATCCGATCACCAATCAGGAAGTGGAAAAATTAGTCCAGCAACTCTTCCAGCCTTTTCTGTGTCAGAGAAGAATTAAGTTTCATATAACTTTTAATTTATTTAGCTGTACAAAGTGCTCTGCTACATCAACTGCATTTTAAATTTGGCCATAAATATGTTTTATTCCTTGCCAATCGATAACAAAAAGTCCTCATGTTTTGAGCTATATTGGGAGTTAAAGGAGACCAGAACAGAGAGCAGTGCAGGCACATTTTCCATATGGAAGCATTTGCAAAAAAAAGTCAGCAAGGTGCCAATTTTGCTGAGGTGCTACATTATTGTATAAATAACCTGATGGCTAATTCAGTCCACCCACTCCACTCTGTACTTCAGCAAAAGTATTGAGTTGTATCTAATGCTAGTCCTACTCAAAGTAGAACCATTGAAATTAATGGATATAACCAACATAGTTCAATTCATGTTAACGGGTCTACTTAATTGGCTACAGCCCACTGAGTCACACTGTTTTAGGGTTATTCCCATTTTGCAGATATGAAACTGACATATGAGAAGAATGAAGGCCACTCAGCAAACCTACAGCTATGCCAGAATCTAAATCACATGTTTCAAAAGGGCTTTCTGTGGCATGCGCCAGTTGCTTCCAAGGATACAGTCACATGGGGGAACTATAGGATGTGAACCCAAGCTCTTTATCGTTTCCTAAATTGGATTTCTACAATGAAGTGGCACTTTTTTCAATTGCCACTATTGCGGGAGTTCAGCCACATCTTTGGAGGTTCACGTGCCAGTACTTTTTATTTCCTTATGTCCTGGGAGGGCATTGCAAGGAGCCCTTTTGTAACATGTGAACCCTGCTTCGGCCCATGCGCTTTCCAAAAACTGGCAGCAATGAATAGAGCTTGAACTTTGCATTTTTGTTTGGTTCCTTTCCTCCTTTTGCCACAGACCTGTAATCATCATGTGAAGAAAGTTTGTGTGTGTGTGTGTGTGTAGTTATAGATCTTTCATTGCCAAGTGACATTTCTCAAAGGCGCTGGGTCGAAATGACTTCACTGTGACTCTGTGTCTAAGGCTAAATTGTGCATATTTATCCTAGCTGAAAAGGATCATTAGATTATTATACCCCCTTGCTTGCTCAAATTTGATAGTAACTTGTGAAATGAGCCTCTACCCTATTTTACGACATTATGGCACCGAGTATTTTATGCACAAATAGGGCAAGGCAGCAGAGTGCATGCCGGTAGTGCTGGGAGGCATGCAACATAAATCAGACGATGTGTGCATAATTACAAGATAGCAGAACAGGTCCCAAGGGTATTTTCAGCATCGTAAAGCATTACATAGACCTACGGGCCCCTAGAACATTATCCTTTCCCATTTCTTCACTCTTAGAGGCACCAGACAGCTTTTGTCTGCAGGACGGCATGGCACAAGAGTGATGCGATGAATTACAACTGCATGAGTACTCTGTGTTTAATTGCAAAGCCACAATTTAAAGCACCCTCTGATTAAATTGCCCGAAGCTTCCAATCTTATTTGTTGGATAGTTGCTCAGGGGCTGAGTGCTTTCTTAGCATTTATAGCGGAAAGTCAAGGTGTCATCTTGCCACCTGTCCTGAAATACTTTGTCCAGAGACTATGGCTTCCATCCATTACTGGCAGCAGGAAGCAATGAAAAGAGCAACAAACGTTAAACGAGCCGGATCTCTCCCATTGAGAAGCAAACATCATTTCTAACCCCATTATGAAAGGATTCATTGAAGATACTGTAGGAATACTGGTCTGGAATTTGTGTTGCACGCTAACTTTTGCTTCAACAATGATTGCACAACATTAAAACGAGATCGCAATGTGACTTGTATGAAATAATATGGGATATAACATGGAATAACAGAAGTGTCTTAAAGAACCATAGGGATGATCCAGCCTCTGTGTGGGTCTGTCTCCTGGCCTGTACAGAGTTTTGTGCATCCAGGGCCCTTTCAAATGTTAGTTTTACTCCTTACACTGCTGCCATCAGTGGGCATGAGTCCTATGTTTCAAAGAGGGAAAAGAGATGTGAGGTCATTCTTAGATACATACTCTCCAATGTTCCTCAGATGAAAATAGAGGAAATTCTACACCCCCTGTGCCTGCTCCTCAGAGGCTGGGGAAGGGACACAGATGCAGCGACTGACCAAAGCAAGCTGGAGCCAAGTGACTGTAATAGCCTCTCATGGCAGCGGCCTCATGAAAGGCCCCACCCACTTCGCTGCCCCACTCACTGCTTTCTTTATGGGAGACCAACCAACTGAGGAGCAGGGAAACGGTGAAAAACTTTCTTAGGGGCATTCAAGTGACCCAGATCTTGTTTTTATACAAATAGGAAATGACGCCATATTGAGACATAGATCTAAGAAGCGTGTTAGAGGGACACATAGATCTGAACTTCCGGTAATATGATGAAACACTGTACTGAAGAGAAGTCCCCTTGGGAATTTGAGACTCTGCATGAAAAAGTGAGAAGCCATGATGGCTTAAGGGTTTTTGTGACGACCCCAGTATTTTCAGGGCAGTTGGATGGTATGTTAGATGTGTTAGCTAACCAGGTCTGTATATTCCCAATAGGAGAGGGCTATTACCCTCAAGTCCTGCTTGTGGATTTCCCAGAATCCTATGATGGTATCAATCTGAAGTGGGTAACTTGCTTTTACTTGTGAAGGCTCTCTTCATGAAGTAGAACTCTGGAAAATCAAGGTTTTACATCCTGCAGGAAACTGACATGAATACACACAGGCTGAACACTTGAAAATCCCAATTTATTTTGAGGGGGACTTCAGGGGAGGCAACCCAAGCAACAGTCCTTGGTGTGGCCCATGGAGACTTAGTAATAGGTCTTAAAACTTTTGCTCACATTGCATAAAAGAAAAAGAAAAAGTCCTTTTGCATATTGAACAGGAAGTTAAAGCAATTAAGCGAGTGATTACCATATTACTATGGAAGGCCCAAATTAAGGATAACAATTTGAGTTTATTAAAATAGGCATATTCTCTGTGAATATTTAGGAAATGTTTATATTACATTTTCCCTTGCAGTAAATTATGAAATGAGGATAATGGTTATGAGATACCTGAAGCATGCCGGTGGCTCATTATCCAATGAATTGATATGAATAAATTGGATAAATCAACCAGCTTGACAGCTAGTAGTTTCCTTTGCCGAAGACATAGCGGGCCAAAGCGGAGGGGGAAAGTTCAAATGGTAAGAGGAATGTTGAGATCTTGATCTGTGCATCCTTGAACTGTGGTAGCTGGTAGTCTCAAAAACCAGAAACAGCCTCTGTATTTGGGGGTGTCAAGGGGAAGAACAATGAAAGGGTGGAAGAGAAACAGACCCAAAGGAAAGTAAGACTGAAAGAGACACCACCTCTCTGCTGCAAAAACAAAACCATTTGTGGAATTATAGTTTAACTCTCACACATTTCCTTCTGGCCTAGGGGCTGAATGTAAACTCCATGCTTTTCTGTGTGGCCCTGAAGACTCTCTACAGGCTCACTGGATCTGCTGCATGCCCAACTCAAGATTGATCCTCAGGGTCTCTTCCAACTCTATGATTCTATGAAGGAATCCTCTATTTGATGGAAAGTCTAGCTCAAGACTGGTTTAAAGATAAAGAACCCTAAGGAGGGAATGAGGGCAGGGCCCTTGAAGCTGGGTGTCCTATGAAAGTAAGAATCCTGAAAGTTCTCATGAAGGAAAAAATGGGACTCATGAGAACCACTCAGGGAATGAGTGTTTGGAGGCTGTAAGGGTAAGTTGAGCCTAAACAAAACTCTCATAGTGAAGGAAAGGCCATGAGTAATCTAACACACTTGCTTTTTCAGTGTTCCACGCGATTGCTCAAAACTTCCAATTTAGCTCCTCCTCTTTCTCCTGTTCCCTTTCACAATTGAAAACCCCTTATCTTGGCGAAGTGGTGGCAGCAGGAGAATGGCAGACAGTGGAAGGCTGACCCTGTGGAATCTCTTTTTTGCTGCAGCTTTTCAACGGAGTGTCATGTCCTGCTGGGAATATTTGGTCTTGTAGTTAGGCTGCATGATGTCTACTGGGGAAAGAATGCTTTGCACATCATTTCCTGAGGTAGACAG